AGGATTGGCTCATACCGGACGTTATTGTGGATTTTAAGTTGCTAGAGAGGTGTCGAGGCAATATTGCAACTGGTTTAAAGAAATAAATGGTTTTGTGGATTTTGCTAAAGACAGTGTTCATTAATGGGGCAATACCACAAGTGCACATTACTGTTTTTCTAAATAATGCTAAACGGTAAATAGTGGGGCCACCCTTTCACTAACGTTTAGACTTGTTTTTCTAAGTTTTATGATAGTACCACACAAGACGATACATATATATACATTTCAAAAATCAAACGTTCTAGCTAGTATACATATTATTGTTTATGCATGTAAAAAGTACTCCCTCTGTCTCAATAAATAGATTCATAGAGTTGTCTTAAGTCAAACTTTTTAAACTTTGACCGAATTTTTAAAAAAATCCATTAAGATTTATGACATCAAATTAGTATCATTAGATATACCATATAATATATTTTCATAGTATGCTCATTTTATGTCTAGATGTTATTAATCTTTCCTATGAAGCTAGTCGAACTTAAAATAGTTTGGCTTGCACGAATTTAGGAATTGATTTGTTTGGAGACGGAGGGAGTATAAGTACTCTAGCAAGCGTACGTGATAATTTGACTTGTTTGGCATGTAGATGATTTTGATGGATAATCAATCATCAAATCCATAGCTAATCCAATGGACATCTTTAATTTCCATGGGCTAAGCAACGAATTAAACAACCGTTCTACCTCTTTAAGCATGTTTACCTCCTTTTTGTTTAGGTTGTTTTTCCCTGTTTTTGACCATTTAAATCGTCAAATCATTTGATGGACAGTTTAACCATGTCTACCTGGTGTTTTAAGTGAGCGAGTGTATAATGCCATATTTGAACCAGGACCAATTTTCACACACATACAACAACGTCATCAGTAAATAATCATACCTAGTATATCATAAATAGCGATTCCATATTTATTTCTGATTGACTCTAAGTCATTGCAATAGAAACACTGTACCAATAATACTAGTTCTCGTTTATACATATAACAGCAGAAACTTCATTCTCAAAGCCAAATGGCAATTGATTAGCTAGGGGAACATGCATGTACGCCTAGAAATCATGGATATCTTCTGAGATGTCTTCAGCAACCTCAACATTTACATAATATAATAAAAACAGGACGGTGGGGGGTGTGTGTGGCTGGGGATTAGGAAATGTGAGTGCATGTGCTGTATTTTGCTAACGTGCAAGGCTTACGCAAGAAATACTGTTATACTTAACAATTATTAGCAGTTGATTGCTAAATATGTGAATTGTTACCAAACCACAACTAAACCCACGTGCGAATTGTCTCCGCTAGCAGCTTCTGCGAAGCAACCGAAGCAAACACTTTATGAGGAGGAGCTATTTTCGGGTAAATAGTATAGGAGCCGGAGTTGTTTTTGGGTTTGAAGGAGGAGCTTGTAGCTTGTGGCTCTTCCTTAAGTGCTCCGACTCCTCCGAAGAAACATCCGAGGAAGAGCCATGCCAAACAAACCCTTAGTCACCGTCATATTTCCTTTTCTGAAGCAGTGAACCAGATGACATTTCAAAATCTGAATCTCCTTGGCCTTGATTGTGTTCACTGCATTTACAACAGCAAATTTCAAAATTATACGGTAGTGTAAGCTAGAATCTTAACGCCACACACAGAGCAACACATGGATGATGGGTGAACAACCAAAACTATAGTAATAATCCACATGCATGGATGAGTACTGTATCTGTATAAACCAAACACCAATAGTGTAAGCAAGAGTCTACATGCCGTGCATGCTTCCGACTTCTGAGACTGATAATGCAACAACATGAGCATGCACACGTACGGAAATGCCTGGATAAAAACAAATTGCACAAATCATGAGCTCGTAATTAAATTACCTTGCGCTGCCATACAGCTTCAGATACTTGGGGAGCTCAGAAGAAATGAAGGGCTGGAGGTACCGGTATTTAAACTTGACATATTTGACATCCACAGGAGAGAGGTTTTCTTCTTTCCCGTTGATGTATTGACATGATGACATCACAGTCATGTTTGCCATGTCAATGGTAACCAGCCATGTGTCATCATAGTAATTCCTGTAACCAGTCTCCGCCCTCCCTTTTTCTTCCCTCAACACAAAGCACATGGTGCTCGGGTTAGCCATGCTGACGGTAGGGTATTCCAACGGGATGCGCGGGAGACGTCGTGCAAAATCGTCAAGCTTCCAGAGATCATCAGAATCGAGCACAGAATCAATAGTCCAAGACATGTTTGCTTCATCAGTTATCTTCATGGTCCAGGAGGTGAGCTTGAAACCGGAAGCAGGCGTGAATCTTTCATTAATTATCTGGCCGTCGCCTTGGACAACCATAGCGAACTTGATGAAACCATGGTCCTCGTTGACAGACACACCCTGGTACAGTTCCGACACTGATCGGCCATGGAGAGCGCGGTCAAGGTTAGGCAGCTTGTCAGGGAACGGTATGTACTGGAGCCGAGAGCTGGCGTCAAACACATCGCAGAGCAAAATCCCACCAATGCAGTAGTCAACCCAGCACAGGTAGCTCCCTACGGCCACGACAATGTCAGAGTACCAATTGAACACCAAGGTCTCCAAATTCAGATCACTGTCACGGAGGTCGATCTTGGGATGCCTGACCTGCCATCGGCCAGAGCTAGACGGGCAGAGCACATGAAGCTCAACCTGGACCTCCGCGAACCTGTCGATTTGCAGCTCCGCCAAGGCGGAGTCGTCCCTGCCGCGGCGCAGGACGCCCATGTCCAGGCCGTCAAGCCTGCGAAGGCGCTGCCTCGTGAGGACGAACTTCCCCGCCCTGAACAGGGCCTGGAAGTCGGCCATGGTGCCGTCGACGGAGGGGAACCGCTCCAGCGAGGGGCGGCGGGAGCCGTCACCGGCCGTGTAGAGGAAGTAGTCGTACAGGTCGGCGAAGTAGCGGCCGTGCACGGGGATGGGGTAGATCATCTGGAGGAGCACGGCATCGCGGTGGGCGGAGATGACGAAGAAGCGGTCGAATTCCCCCTTGCCGCCCGGCCAGCACAGGTAGAAGCGGGACGGCCGCGGCGGCTCGCGGAGCTGGAAGCAGACGCGGACCTCGTCGCCCCTGGAGTTTGTGCAGGACGCCTCGGTGGGCTCGCCGGTGGGGAAGGAGTCGCGGAAGACGTAGCGATCGATTATGACCCAGTCGGGGAGGGAGGAGGGGAAGCAGGTCATGGCCGGCCGGCCCATCGTCGTCGTCTCGTCGGTGTGGCGGGCGGCCGCAGAGTGGAAAGCGGATCCCGATTATAACTAACTGCATTGGGAGTTGAGATGAGCTGGGCCGTACTTTCACGTTGGGCTGGGCGAGGTCCGATTCCTCTTAACTGTTACTCATAGCCAAAGCCCACCGTGGCCCACGCAACACGACGACCCAAGACGACCCCCCTTCGACCTGGAACTGGAACTGCAACCAGCAGCAACAGCAATGGAGGACACGACGTCCCAAGACGCGGCAGCCGCTGCGGGGCAGGAGAGGCCCCCCTCGGTGCTGGCCTTGAGAAGCCTCGCCGACTACAGCGACGGGACCATCCCCACCATCTTCTGCGTTCCCGACTTCATCTCCCACTCCGAGCAATCCCAGCTCCTCCACAACTTACTGCACCCACCAAATCTCGTTTCTTTTTATTCGTTTTTTTCCCCGTTTCTCTCGACCGTACTGTATTTGACGCGGCGGTGGTGACTTCTTTGACGCAGATTTACCAGGCACCGGCGCCCAAGTGGAAAACCCTTAAGAACCGGAGGCTACAGAACTGGGGTCCTCTTTGTCTTCTTGGCACTTGGTGGTGTTGCCTTGGGGATTGGTTTAGCTTCTTCCTTTCCTTGACACGGTGTTGGATTGTGCAGGAGGAGTGGTGCATGAGAAGGGGCTCCTGCCGCAGACCCGTGAGTGCTCATAAAAGCTTGCAATTTCTAGCTTGGTTTTGTGCATCAAACTGACGATCAGACATAATGTTGCATAACTGAACTTTGGCCCTTAATGTAATTTTGGTTCAAATGTACTTGGTTTGAAATGCCTTCTCTTGTTTAAATTCAAAGACTGGTAGGTATGCTTGAAGAGTAAGATTTTGCTACAATGCTATTGCCAGTAGAACTGTGGGAAGCTCACCAAGTAGTTGGCACTTTTAAAGGATAGGGTAACTAACACTATATTGAATTTCTGCTTCAACAGCACATGCCACTTGCTTGTTTGGGAGATGTCTTGTTAATTTTTGTACAAACCACAAGTCCCACATGATGATCATCATAAACCAGTTATGTAGTAGCTTGTCTAGCTTACTTGCTTAGCTTAAGCTTTCGTAGCAAATGACACTCTGAAGGGCTTCAGCTTGTGAACCATTAGGGCTGCCTTCTTCTTGTTTTAGATAATTTGAGACATCTGATAGTTATGGCTTAGGCTTAGAGGTTGAGATAATTAGTTATCACCTTGCTTGGCTTAGATGCAGCTTTAACTGTCTTATAACTTGAAGCTACTCAAAGGTCTTCATAACTGTTAGGAAGTTCGTTAAGGGTGAATGTTTGTTTGAATATTAGATAGGGATTCAGAGAGTTTTACTCCCTCCAAGCTAGAAAAACAAAGAATGCTATATATTTATGGTATTTTTGGGTCAGTCTAGGATAAAGTATTTATGACCTTTCTTCTTTCATTTTTCAGTTAGCAAATTGTAACCTCGAGAACAGTATTACTTGTTTTTCTACCTTCTAAAATACTGAATCTAGCACAGCACAGAGATTGAATTTTTGAGTGCCTGCTAGGCCATAATCTTATTGTAATTGATGTCTGTTCTGAACGCAACAGTGATACATTTCTTGATTGGTGGCTAACATGCCTACTAGTTGCATTCTAATATGTGTGCTTTTATAATTAGTCTTAAGTGCATATCAATTTTAGCATCAAATTGAGCTTCACATCATCTAATGCTGCAGTACCTTCATGGCTAACAAGGATGACCGAGAGAATCTGCCAGTGGACTGGTTTATTTCCTTCTGCAATCAATCATGTGCTGATAAATGAGTATCATCCTAATCAAGGGATCATGGTTTGCAATCGACAGACCTCTGTTTGTTTCCTCTGTTTTCATATTAAGCATCGCCCTCTGCTTACAAACAATGAATTTTGTGCCTTCCAGCCACACCAAGATGGTCCTGCTTACTACCCTGTTGTTGCTATCATATCTCTCGTTTCACCTGTTGTGATTAATTTCACACCCCATCAAAGGCTTAAAGAGCAGCAGGACACTGATCCACAGGACTTACAGGCCCATGAGTTGCCGGCGCCAGCTGAGATGGAGAGCAATGGCGCTGGCTCACATGAACGTGGAGCCACAAATGAATCTGATCCTGCATCTTCATCACTTATACTGATGCCCTGCAGCCTGTTGATATTTAAGGATCAGGCTTATACAGGTTAGACAGATCCGTGCAATTGTTTTCTAATGGGATAGCCAATTAATCATCTTTATTCAATAGAAGTTTCATTGTATCTTATGTTTTTTTCCCTACAGACTACCTGCATGGGATACAAGATAATGAGATACATAATCTGGACAAGGTGAAACAATGATTGAACATCAGTAAATCACTTGTACATGATGAGCATCTGAACTTACTCTGAGTGCAAAAAATTGGCATTATACAGGTCGAAAATGTGTCGCAGTGCCTAGAACTGAAGCATCTACATTCGGACTCTATCCTGGGGAGCATGAGCATGGATGAGCAGCGTGGTACGTTCCGCAGGACCGCCACAAGAGTCTCGCTCACGTGTCGGTTGGTGCTGAAAGTCCACAAAAAGCTATTCAAAATCTAGAAATTCTGATTATAGCCTTGTTTTAGAATAGGACTACCAGTATGCTATGTAAGATACAAGGTGGAAGTTGTTTGGTCAGCAAGGTGTCCACAAAACAAAACACAAAAGGGGAAAAGCGTTTTCTAGTCAAGAATCCCAAAGAGCTGTTGAGCTCAGTTTCTTAGAAATCGACCAGGAAGCACGGGAAGGAACAAGAAACCGCTGGGTATGATGTACGCGTACGAGATGACGCTGTTTTCCATTTAATTCTGCGTGCAGCTGCCTTTCGCACTATGAAACGGCCGTCCAGCAAACCGAGTTATACGCGTACGAGATGACGCTGTTTTCCGTGTAATTCAGGTTTTCATATACGCTAATGATACAATTTAAGACATCTGGACGGACAGATGCCTCCTCTCCTCACTCCTACAGGTGCCGCTGACCTAGCGACCCTATCCGCACGTTCTGATGCTCGCTGCACCGCTGATGATCGCTGCACCGTTTCCTCCGTGCGTCGCCATGCCCATCCACCCCACCCCACTCCGTATCGCCGCCGCCGGTCCCCCGCAGTGATGCGCCCCTGTTGCTTTGGGCCCCATCCCCACGCTACCTCCCCACGCTGCCTCCTTCGCGCCGCATTCCCCATGGCCCCAGTTTGCCTTGCCCGCCTCCACCGCGCCGCCTCCTCACCTCGGCCAGCCCGCTCGCCTCGGCCGCCTCCACCGAGCCGACGAGCCTCCACGACGGAGCAAGCAGGCGAGGGCGATGAGATTCATGTGACACCATGCCCGCTGGCGAGTTGCCCGTGCCACCGCCACACAGCGAGCTCCATGCGCCGCCGTCGACCTCCGCGCCGGCGTGCCTCCATTCGTCCAAGCAAAGCCTATATTGCAAGAGTATATTTCAAGTGTTTTAGATGTTTCATCTTGATGTTGCAAGCGTTTCATATAGATGTTGCAAAAGTAGATTGGAATGTTACACAAATTGTAGTGGCTGTACACATATCTTGCAAGTGTATGTTCCAATGTTTCATCTCGTTTTCCAGACTTATGTTTGCAAGTGTTTCATGTGGATGTTGCATATGTTTTCACACATATGTTGCAATTATTTCATCTGGATGTTGCATATGTTTGCAAATGGGTTTCAAGTGTTTTGAGATTTTTTTTTGCAAGTGTTTCATATGCATGTTTCGAGTGTTTCAAGCTGTTTCGTATGTATGTTGCAAGTGTTTTATCTGGATGTTTCAAAAGTAAATCTGGTGTTACAACTAGTGTTTCAGATGCATGTTTCATGTGTTTCATCTGCCTTCGACGTTGTTGTAAGTGTTGCATTCGGATGGTTCAAAAGTAGATCGGGTGTTGCATCTCTGTCATCGCTTTTCTGCTATCTCACCCTCGCCTCGGTGTCTCCTCTTCCTCCTCTCAGCGTAGGCTGGGCATCCGCTGTCCCCTCCCCATCCCCCTCTTCTAGATGCTGGCGTAGCCACCTGCTGTAGTCACCTGTTGTAGCTGATGGCCACGTGCATGCGCGTGAGAAAGCGGATGGAGCATGAGCGGGGACTCCCCATGTGTAGTTGGGCGGCTCGGGCGCAGGATGCAGGTGCGCGGGGAGAGACGGAGTGCAGGCGGGCGTGTCCGGACGTCCGACGGCGCACTCAGAAACGGCCGGCCAGCAAACCGAGTTTTACTTGAGTGGAAATCTGTCGTGGGCTGGGCCTAACTCACTTGTTGGCCTGTTAGCCTGCTGGCAGCTACTTGCTTTCAGCGAGCTAGCTCAAGTTGCTTAAGGCCCTGTTTGTTTCAGCCCCTTTTTTAGACTCGCGTATAATCTGAGCACGATTTTCTAATAAGCTGTGGTCCAAAAAAATCTAAGCATGAAAAAAATTCTACAAAGTAATAGAGCAACTTTGATTAGATAAAAAGATAGCGTTATGCAAATTGCTCAAGCTCAACACCACTTCAAGCAAGCCTCCTTCACAATGCTAGTTTCTACGATTTTTAAGGTTTAATCACACAAGCACATAAACTAGCAACTACTCAACTAACTACAACTAGCAAGAGCTAAGCTAACTACAACTAATTACTTCTACCGGTTGCTCTATGCTTCACTAGGCTACACAAGCAACTACCACACAAATCAAGTATGAATGCAAAGCGAGGTGATAGAGTGCAAACCAAACCGGCAAGAGACAATTGAACACCAAGATTTATTCCTATGGTTCGGTTGCTTGCCGTCAACCTACGTCCATGTTGTGGCGAGTACTAACTCGCTGGCTCACGCGCTAAGAGGCATCACACGCCTAGCCCACACCAAGGGCACCGTAACAAGCACACAAGAGAGCACTTACAAACCCACGAATCCACTAAAGTAGCTTTTTGCGAATCTCCTGTGGGGAATAAGCTCAAGAACCCCTCACAATCGATCGATCGGAGCCGACAACAATCACCAAAGCCGCTCAACGATCCTCCAAGCTCCGGGCTAGCTAGATGACGGCAATCACCAAGAGTAACAACAGTTCCACAAGATGCAAGATCACTAAGCAAATGCATTAGAGGCTCTCAATCTCACTCCAAATGTGATCCAAAGAGATTCAAGTGAGTGGATTGTGTTCTTCAGCTCTCAAGAGGTTTGCACAACAGAATGGAGGTCCAAGAGAGTGGCCTTGGCCGGCCAAGTGGTCTATATTTATAGACCCAAGCCAAGGATCCAACTGATATCCCTTTTTTATTTTACTGCGGGTGCACCGGATGCCTCTATAGTGGCACCGGATGCCGCCCTGACACGCTCGGTGCATGCCCAATGGCTATATTCCAATGATCATTTTTTTTCGATCGTTTGAACTTGCTAGACGTCCGGTGTGCCACCAGACGATGCATTGGACACGTTCGGTGCCTATACGTGCTCAGAGCCTCACAAAACATGCTCTCTATGATCCCTGTCCGGTGTGGCGTTCGGTGCCACACCAGACACGTCCAATGAGCTCTTTTGAATCTCACGCGCTCGGCTGGCTGCACGAGCACAAGTCCAGTGCACACCGGATGCCTCGGTGCTTGGTTGAAACTTGTGAACGTATAAACCACTACCGCCGTGTCTGATGCACCATGTTCGGTGCACACCGGACACGTCCCTACATATTAGAGCCAAGTTAGCCTTTTCAAAGTGTTTTTCATAAACATTTTCCGCTTGCTCTCCGAGTGTGTCACTAGGCCCAAATGCAAATACAAAGTATTCCAACACCTAATGGCACTAGATGACCGAATTGACCAATTAGAGCTCCCTCTTAATAGTATGGTCATCTATACTAAATCCGATCATGCACTCTATTATGTCTTGACTGACAAAATAAAATTTCTATTTATACCTTTGCCTTGAGCCCATAGGATTTTTTCTCTTTCTTCTTTTCCAAAGTCAGAGCACTTTATCAACATCACCTTGAGTGCCATATTGCCCCATCCTTGGAAGTGGACCAACCTATCTCATGACAACACTTAAAGCAAAGGGTTAGTCCACTCGATTGTCTCAATTAACCAAAACCAAACATAGGACTTTAACTTGCCACCACCAGCTGAAAGGTCCTAATATGGCTAGAGGGGGAGGGTGAATAGCCTATTTAAAAAACTACAAGATCACTAGAGCAATTTGATTAGTATGACAAAAAGCGAAATGCAAACTTGCTCTAGCTCTACAAGGGTTGCAAGCCACCTATCCAACAATTCTAGTTGCAAAGATCACTAGGCACACGATTTGTTAAGTCACTACTCACTAAGAGCTCTCACACTTGCTACACTAAAGAGCTCCACTAGATGAACTTAAACTACAAAGCGAGCTCTCAATTCTAGCTACACTAAAGAGCTTGCTACAACTAGTTTGCAAGAATATAAATGAGTGAGTAGGGTGATTATACCACCGCGTAGAGGAGTGAACCAATCACAAGATGAATACCAATTCAATCACCGAGAGAATACCAAAGGGCAAGAGACAACCAATTTTTCTCCCGAGGTTCACGTGCTTGCTGGCACTCTAGTCCCCATTGTGTCGACCAACACTTGGTGGTTCAGCGGCTAAGAGGTGTTGCACAAACCTCATCCACACAATTGGACACCGCAAGAACCTACCCACAAGTGAGGTAACTCAATGACACGAGCAATCCACTAGAGTTACCTTTTGGCTCTCTACCGGAAAGGTACAAGACCCCTCACAATCACTGGAGCCGCCACGAACATCACCAACTCGTGCCAAAGCTCCTCCGCTGCTCCAAGCCATCTAGGTGGTGGCAACCACCAAGAGAAACAAGAAATCCGCAGCAACAATGATCCCCAAGTGCAACTAGATGCAATCACTCAAGCAAATACACTTGGAATCACTCCCAATCTCACTATGATGAAGAATCAATGATGGAGATGAGTGAGAGGTGTTTGCTTAGGCTCACAAGGATGTTAGGAATGTCAAAGTGCCAAGAGAGTGAGCCCCAAGCTGGCCAACCCCTTTAAATAGAGCCCAAGAGCTCAAAAGAGCTGTTGGCCCTCGCAGGCGTGACCAGACTCGTCTGACCGGACGAACCCTAGCGTCCGGTCGACTGCGTCCGATCGGCCCTGGCCGTCCACGTGTCGTGCCTTGGAATTCTATGCATCGATCTTCAATGGTCAAAATGATCAGCTCGCTAAGTTAATGATTGACCGGACTTGACGTTGAAATCGACCTGACTCTGGCCACATAGAGTCCGATCAAAAATAGAGAGCTCCTAGAGCATAGAAAAGGTGACTGGACGCGTCAGGTCAGGGATGACCGAACGTGCCGGTGAGTCTAGTCAGCACAACGTTCTTCACCGCGCGCTCTCGCTGCTGATGCCAGTGTACGTCAGCCAAGACCTAATGCAGCCTCTATGCATCCGGTCGCGTGCTGACCCCTGTGTCCGCTCGCCCAAAGAAGTGATTGGATGCCCCGGTCAGGGCCAGAGCCAGTGTCCGGTCCTTCACCCCACTCTCAGCAATCCACCGCGCCTTCGCTAAAAATGACCGGACACGCCCGGGTGAGTGCGGTCACCCCACGGCCAGAGTCCGGTCGTGGACCTCCTCCTCTTTTTCTTTTTCTAAGTCCACAACCACTTCACCCTTACTTCCCAATTGCTAACCACAAAGTGTAGAACTTGTGTGCACGTGTGTTAGCATTTTTCAAAGCATTTTACAAGGGTCAAAGTTAGCACACTAGGTTCCTAAATGCATATGCAAAAGTCATGTCACCTAGTGGCACTCAATAAACCGTTTAGCCAAAGATTTTCCCTCTTTATAGTACGGTTATCGATCCTAAGTCACTCACACCCTGTATGGTGTCTTGAGTGCAAAACAAAAACCTGTCATATACCTTTGCCTTGATCACT